GTGAACATGGATGTAATCTTTGTGTCTTTTCTGAGTTTTTTCAATCATAATTGTTTATTTTTCTGTGTCTAATGGCTCTAAAGGAGAGTTAATTGTGTTATTTTTGTATCCAGTTTTGATTGATGAGGTCACATTAATATTGCTGAATCATGAAAAGTGAGTTTTGCTTTTTCTTTGACTTTTGACAGTGGATTTTCCAGAGCTAAGAGGCAAAGATCCATTTGAATACTGTTAGGAAATGCTCATTTGTGATCTAGTTTCCCTTTTCCTTCAGCCCTCAGAGGAGCCAGTTCAGATGTGACCTGTTGGTGTTTAAATGCTCGGTCACTGTTGAGGACACGGAATAAGAAAGCATCTTTATCACCTCTGAGTGGGAGAGGGAACAGATCTGAGAGCTGCGTGGTGCAGGACCGATAAGCTGTGACATAAAGTTTAGCGTCAGGCTGCAGAGGAAAACACTTTAAGGGGAGATTAAAGACGGTTTTGATCATTTCAGATGTGAGATTTCGGCTTGCTTTGACGACCTTTGACCCCATGCTATCTGGAGCTGAGACCCCACAGTTTCTCTGGTTCAGTTTCCAGCTGTGAGTCTCACTTATCTAACAGACGTTTGATTTTGTGCGCTTTTCTTTTTAAAGTCCGGCATCACGACGGATAGAAAGACGATCCGAATACACTCAACACTGTTTTGTTTTGTCTCCATAAAGATTTGAAGATAAAGATAAAGATAGATAGATAGATAGATAAAGAACTAAGCAACCATCCATCCATCCATTATCGTTTCCGCTTATTCCCTAATGGGGTCGGGGGGGGGGCGGAGCCTAGGCCAGTAGCCAATGGGGAGAGGCGGGGTCACCCATGACGGTCCCCAGTCCATCACAGGGACACACAGAGACACACAAGGACCAACAACCACTCACATTCACACTGAGGGCAGTTTGGAGTCCAACAACCTAACATGCAGGTTTTTGGACGGTGGGAGGAAGCCGGAGAACCCGGAGAGAACCCACAGACACAGGAGAACATGCAGAACCACCCAGAAAGGTCCTGGTTCCCCCGGGACTCCAACCCAGAACCCTCTGGTCCTGGTTCCCCCGGGGACTAGAACCCCCCACTGCCCCCCTTTAAGCAGCTCCTCCACCTTCCTCCTGCAGGGGGCGCCAGAGGGCCATAAAGTGTGTGTCCAACCTGTTAAAAATCTAATAAATCCAGCTCTGAGCGCAAATAAAGAGAAATTTGCAGCAGCTTTGCTCTGAGGACGAACGGTAAGCAGGGAGACCACCACATCTGGGCTCGTTTACAGAAAAACAAATTAAATTAAATCTTTTTAATGACATTTTTTTTCTATAGCACCACATCACAACAACAGTTATCTCACAGACAAAGACAAACGATGTCCTGACCCTTCAGAATTTTGAGAAATAAACATTATTTGGTTAATCCTTTAAAGCCTGATCCAAGAATAAAACAAAACAGAAAATTAATTGTTGTTGGTTTGAAGTCTTTATTTGGCCTTTAACAAAATATGTAAAAAAACAAAACAGAAATACATTTTTAATATTAATAATTTATTACTATGCGATAAGTCAAGATTATTTTTTGTGTAGTCTTCTGCCCCCTGTTATCAGGTGTATCTGATTGTGTATAATAGGATTTTGAGCAAAGTTTTTACCATTAAATTATGCAAAAGGTGTCAGATGCAAAACATTTCACAAACCGTGTGTATCAAATATGATACATTTGGCATTACAGGGTTAAACTTGTTCGGACTTCTTGTACAAACCTATTTAACATACACTATTTTAAGATAATATTATGTATAGAGGGGGGTTTGGAGCCAGAGGCTGTTTAACCGGGTGGAAACAGGCTTTGAAACAAGTTGAGTGTGATCCACTAAACAGCAGATTTCCTCCAAACACAAACAAGGATCAGACCCAGAGAAGAAAGGTGGACGGATTATCTAACCCCGACCGCCTTAAAAACCCCAGCCAGCTGAGACTGAGCCGGTTCTGGACGGATCTCTCAGGTCTGTGTCTCCACCTGCTGGTCTGAAGGGTCCAAAAGCCTCTGACTGAGCTCAGGAACCAGAAACCAGGCAGTTTTCTGTCTCCATTCCCTAAAGCGAGTGGAACCATGTTTTCCCACCCTGTAGTGGGTCATCAAACACACCGTTTCCCTCCTTGGTTTTAATCCATAAGAGCCTGTGTTGGCTAAAGTTTGCTGGTTTTTCTGGTGGGGGGGGATGTTGTATTACAGGTATTACAGCTAATTATAGTGTGTATCACAGAACAGTACTTTTCTGATTTATTTTTATAGTTTTTTTAAACAGAACTGAGAAGATGCACCTGATCTTTTAAGTTTTTAAGTTAATCTTCCTCAGCATCTCATTTTTATTATATAGAACTTTATTGTTTTCTAATACAGCTTTGAGAAAATAATTTGCCTTTGGGATGAATAAAGTAATCTATCTAAGATTCTTTTTTTGTCCTGCTCATCTTTCCTTCTGTGTCATTTTTACCGTTATCATCAGTATCTAAAAGCATTTAAAATGATTAATTAGAAGTTTGACTCCTTCCATATCTGAAAGTTTCTCATATTAGTTTATTTCAGGAAAGAACGGCTACAGAA